GAGCTCTGTAATGCTAGAAATCCCCATTACGTAGGATTGCTCTTGAAAGGTTTATCGTTCAGCGAGATCTATGTCCATAAAAAGGAGTGACTCAGAGTGGGGCTGGCCAAAATCGGAGGCACAGACGCTTAGGGCTAGTCTCGTTCAACTTTCTAAGACGACACGAGGGATGGGTGGGTAGGTAGGGTTAGGGGAGTGTCATAAGCCAGTTGGGGTCGCCCCCGGTGCTTTCTTTTTAGAAGTATAGCCTCCTATAGCGACCCCCTTCCTGCGATTTACACTATCTGAATTCTAGGGTTGATTTTCTGTTGTGGAGTTTTTAGGAGTTTTTCAGTGCTTTGTAATAACTTTTGAGACGGAGAGGGAGAGAGGATGAGAAGGGCAGAGAAGAGAGATGGAAACAGAGAAGAGAAAAGGCGATAGACTATAAGAGCCGAGGAGGAGCCGAGCCGGTGGAGCCGCTCGGCCGAGCGGACAGCACGCTGGACTTGTGATCCTGTGGTCCTGGGTTCGATCCCAGGCGCCGGCGAGAAACAATGGACAGAGTTTCTTTCACCCTATGCCCCTGTTACCTAGCAGGAAAATAGGTACCTGGGTGTTAGTCAGCTGTCACGGGCTGCTTCCTGGGGGTGGAGGCCTGGTCGAAGACCGGCCGCGGGGACACTAAAAAGCCCCGAAATCATTTCAAGATAACCTCAAGATAACCCCAACTTTGGATTCATGTTGCACTTCCTGCCATATCTCTTGGTACAGCTTATTTAATTGTGCATGTACGAAACCTGTCTATCTTCGATATGTATATTTTGAGAGAGATTTTTCATCATCGTTTTATGTCCACTAGTGTGACACTACAAGAGTACTGTATGTAAGCAACACTGTATGTGCAATTTACAGGGGAAAATTACCTTAAACACACGAACGAATGCAGTCCCCGTGGTGTAGTGGTTAAGACACTCGCCTGGCGATCCGCGAGCGCTATGTCATGGGTTCGTATCCTGGCCGGGGAGGATTTACGGGGCGCAAATCCTTAACTGTAGCCTCTGTTTAACTCAACAGTAAAATAGGTGCCTGGTTGTTAAACGATTCTTCGCGGGGTCGTATCCCAGGGAACATAGCATTAAGGACTTGCCCGAAACGCTACGCGTACTAGTGGCTGTACAAGAATGTAAGAACTCTTGTATATTTAAATGAATAAATAAGTAAAATAATAAACTACGGTGAAGAAAACGCTTCACTTTTGATTCACAAAAGTGAATCGATCACCTGACGATGAGTCACAATAACGTGGCTGAAGATATGATGACTAAATCACTCATCAGAAGATGATGATGAGGAGGAGACGACGCTCTCTTCTGTCGTGTTACAGATTCTAATCATGCTATTGATTGGTCTTCTTCTAAAATTATCCTTCCTGCCTCTACACAGACGCCGTCGTGTCGACTCGGCTCTGATACACAACCTTCCCAACATGATCCTGAGTCCTGGCTTTGTTGCTGTTGACTCTTCTCTTCCACAGTACATAAATGCTCTAACCTTTCTAACAAACGTGACCTTGCACAAGCCTACTCATCCTTTTTCTCTTTCTTTCTCGTCTTGTTCATTCGTTCCTATTCATATACCCGTTATTTCCTCCCTTCTTGTATCCCAGTATTACACCCATCCCATCCATTCCTTTCGCCTTGTTCTACCCTTCCTCTAGGAATTTCCTCCTTCACCTCTCTTGCCTTAATTAATGGCCTTATCTCCCTTGCTCTTGCCACGCTCCTGTGCCAGGTAAGTCCACTACGGGCTCACCATAGCCCGTGCTACTTGCAACTTGTTCCGGGTAGCTGAATCTATAACAACAACAACTTGCTCCTCTTTTAACCCCGCTCCTGTGCCAGGTAAGTCCACTACGGGCTCGCCATAGACCGTGCTACTTGGAACTGTTTGTTCAGAGTACCTGAATCTGAACCAACAGCTCGCTCCAACCACAATCGACTTGATAATGGTCCAGGACGGACCGAAACGTCGTCGTCTCCTCGTCTTCTGGTGTGTGGTGTGGTTATCATGTCGATCATCTGTTCTATGTAGCTACATATTCCATTTAATTTAAATATGTATTTAAACGTTTGTTGTGTCAAGACCTTCATATATATTTTACATATAGGCCAGTAAAGTTAACAGAGTTATGGTTCAATTGGTTGTGAGGCTCTCTCTCTACTGGACACTGGGCAGAGGCAAGGTCTCTGGTTAATGATGTCATTAACTACGTCGTGTCGTGAGTGCCAACTGCCTGATTTTAATATATATATATGTATATATATATATATATATATATATATATATATATATATATATATATATATATATATAATTAATAACTCACACACAATTAAAGAACTGGGTTACGTTAATACTCTATTGCTTAATTATTTTTGCAAATAAGACCTGAACTCTGTATTTCTACTGCTTGCGTGCGTGTACATTGATTGGCCGAACAAGAAAAGTAATTGCTGTAAGATTTGGATGAATTTTTAAGCAATATACACGGAGGAAAAAAAAATATTACAGCTCAAACGCAATATATTACAGTGACCTTCCCCCCCCCTCCCACCCCAACCTGACCTTACGCGAGGTCAGACCCCAGTTCTCTTAGATAACGCTGTTAAAAAACGATCTTCTATTGGGTAGAAGATAGAAAATCTTCTATTGACGCTATGCTTGTGTGGGATGCATACAGGAGTGACACCGCTATCCTTCACTACAGCGCTGGTATTCCTTCCTAATCTGTCCTCCTGCTTCGCTCCATTCTACAAGCATAGAGTTATTTATCGAGGCCATGTTTGTCATTTTTTTTTCCGACAGATTAATTTATATTGCCTGTTTTCTTCAGTTTATGCTCTCATTTTGTGCTGGTGTTGGGAAGATGGGAGTCAGGGAAGACTCTATTAAACACCAGTTCCGGTGTCTGGTAAAGTCAATTTTCCTGGAAATGGAATAGTGAGTGTTCATAATAATTCAATATACAACGTGTAATTGTTGGCGTAATATGATGAGTGAGGGGGTGACTGCAGGAGCTAGATTGCTTGATGAGGCAGTTACAATGATGTCTTCATCGATCGCCAGCAAGAAGGAATTATAACCTGTGTGTGTGTTTAGTCTGCGGCGAGCGACAGAAGCGTCGACTGTTCCGCGTTGAGCTGCGTCTCACTAGTCCCCTCTGAACGTGACGAGTCTGCTGCTGTGTCGCCTTCTGGACTGTGTCGCCTTCTGGACTGTGTCGCCTTCTGGGCTGTGTCACCTTCTGGGCTGTGTCGCCTTTTGGGCTGTGTCGCCTTCTGGGCTGTGTCGCCTTCTGAGCTGTGTCGCCTTCTGGGCTGTGTCGCCTTCTGGGCTGTGTCACCTTCTGGGCTGTGTCGCCTTTTGGGCTGTGTCGCCTTTTGGGCTGTGTCACCTTCTGGGCTGTGTCGCCTGCTGGGCTGTGTCGCCTTCTAGTCTGTGTCGCCTGCTAGACTGTGTCGCCTTGGCCGGCCTTAGAGGGAGAATGTCTGTATACAACATAATCGCCGCGTTAAGCCTCACGCCTCTGACGCTATGTTACGAGATCGCAAGACGCACGACGTCGGACTGGGCGGCAGTTCTGTCGCCAGAGGCCGCCCGAGTGCTGGCGGAGGTCACAGAAGGGCCTCTGAGCGAGCACCACGTGACCCTGCTCGTAGACGAGACCGTGGAGGACCACCTCGACCTCGACCACCTGCTGGAGACCATGGCAGCTCCCGCCCTTCTGCTGCGCGCGCCTCGGGAGAACCCAGAGACTGTCTTCAACACCCAGAATGCAGTTCTCGCGCCCAGTAAGATCCTTTGAATCCGTATTTTAACCGACCTGGGCCCCAGGGGGGTAAACATCCCAGCACGAGACGCCATTGCAGCAAAAGTTGCTACACTCGAGCGGCCGAGTGCTATGCAATAGGCGCAATAGGTCCTTAGTGTCACGCGAATTGATTGCTTCATAGGCCAGCCTGGAGGCGAGAATAAAGTATTCGCTCCTATTAAAACGACTGGAAGGTTGCATGTAAAAACGAGTCGGCATTTCCTTAAAATATTATAATACGTGTTGCGACTGTGAAGTACACGTACACAACGTGTACTGTTTCACCCTTAAAACTGTCTGTTTGTTCTAGTGGTTCTTTAAAGGCCGAGAGAGAGGCCTTAACTTATCTTCTCCTCCTAATCCTTATATAAATTATAGATATAAATTTATATCTATAATTTATTAGAGCAGAGGCCTAGAATTGCTTATATTTGGCATAAAATTACATATAGTAGGACTAGAATTGCATATATTTGGCCTAGAATTGCATATATTTGGCCTAGAATTGCTTATATTTGGAAGGAACTTTTCATGTTCCGATGTTCGGAGCAGCTGTCAGCACAAAGTGTCGTTCTTGTCGTGTAGTTCCCGGACGATACGTAACAGGGATCGAGAAGCCGGCGGTAGTGTTACTGGGGGGGGGGGGGGCGAGTGTTACTGGGGACTCAAGTAGCAGCTGGCCAGGTCAGTGTTCCTTCCGGACTTCTTAAAATACTTGGAACAACCTGTTGTTACCCAAGGAAATCATGTCCTTGAGGATGCCGAAGTGTCGTCGAAATATAGACGATGTGCACAAGAGCCCATCGAGGGGGGGGGGGGCCTGGCGGCTGAGTGGATAGCGCTCGGGATTCGTAGTCATGAGGTTCCGGGTTCGATCCCCGCGGGGTTGGAAACAAATGGGCATAGTTTATTTCACCCCTGATGCTCCTGTTCATCTAGCAGTATATAGTTACCTGGGAATTAGACAGCTGCTACGGGCTGCTTCATAAGTATATGAAGTATAGCTGCTTCATAGTACATAATTGCCCATACGTGCATTTATGTACTATGTATGACAGTAAGGAAAAGTACTTATTACACTTGGTATTAAAACGTACTGTCAATTCGGAGGATGGGATGTAAAACTAATGTGTTGGTGACTTTACAGGAGTGGTGGTGGCGGTGATCTCGCAGGTCTGGTGGTGGTCGGCATGGCGTCCCCCGTCCTGGTGGTCGCCCAAGGCCGTCCTGGTGCTCGTCGTGGCCAGGAACTGCGGGGCCAAGCGCCTACTGTCATCCCTTCTCTACCAGCAAACCCCTTCAGCGGCTCTCCTCTGCCCGCACTTCCCTTATGGCGACCCATGGCGGCCCGTCTACGATGTTGTCACCTACCTCCCCGACTACAACCACGCGCCGAGGCGACACACCCTCGGCACCTGGCACCCGGATGCCTTCCCTACCTGGCACCGCCTCTTTTACGATAGGTTCCAAAATTTCGGCAACATGACGATTAATTTGTCGACGGACCTCGATGATTCGCCGTTGTTCTTCAGGAGGCAAGACGGCAGCGTCGATGGGGCCAACAAGAGAATAATGGATGTCTTGGCTGCGCGTCTTAACTTCACCTACACCTACACCAATAAGTCTTCAGATCGTAAGTATTGTATCACAAGTTTTTACTATCAATTAGATATCTAATTGTAGATGAAGTTTTCAGTACAATTAAAGATAAAATATTTAAAGCTTCCGAAACATTACATACATAACAATCTTCAATCTCCAACACCATTGACCCTAAATACACGAACAAGATAGTAAAAGGTTCTTACTGAAAAACAAAAAAGTATATAAAAGCATATAACAGTTCCGGATGATTATCTAAAATGCAACTACCAAAACGTGTTAAAAAGTTGCAAGGAAAGGGGGGTGGGGGGGAATGGTGATTGCAATGTAACCGAGAACGTTGAAGGTCAACGAATCTATGGTATTAAGGGGTTACCCAAAGATGGATAGGAACGTAGTTATTTAAAAGAAAACGGAGGATTTGTCTTAATAGAGTAAGTTAGAATTAGTAACTAATTCTAACTCGTCTCTTAGCTGTCCTAGTACCTCTGTTATTTACCTTATATATATATTAACAATTTAGACAGGAATGAACAGCAGTAGTTGAAAGTTTGCAGATTATAAATTAGAGATCTAGAAAAGACTTTAAAAAGACTCAAAATCGCAAAAAGATGGGTTAGATAATCTTTGAAATTAATTGAGAGATTATCAGATGCATTTTTTGTCTTCACATATGTTGAGTTCTGAGCGTAGGTGGTGGTGGCGATAGAGCAACCGGATATAAGCTTAACCCTTCTACTGCTAATTCTGAACGAGGATAAATATCTTGGCTTCCAACAGCCTGGTTGACCAGCCCAGCAACCAGAAGTCCTGGTCGAGGAACGGGCCGCGGGGACGCTAGGCCCCGAAATCATCTCAAGGTATGATTACTTAGGCTCTTCAGACATTTACTGTGTACATTTTCGAAAACAAGAAAAACCGCAAATAGGATGCTGGGATTCGAACCCAGATACGTTATTAAAAACGAAGTGTGTCATTTTCAGCTTCATCTCGCCCTTGTTAATCTTCATTTAGATCATCTGATTTAGATTTAGATCACTAAAGCTTTGGTCACCGTTTAGAAAGCCACCGGAAAAGAATTTAGAAAACACGTACAGAGAGCGATGATAAAATTTAATCCTGAGAATTTAGAAACCTCGTTCTCGACTCTGTTGGGTGTTCCCGGGGCGAGGTAGAAATGGTTGGGCACATTTCCTTGCACCTAATACCTTTGTTCACCTAGCAGTAAATAGGTACCTGGGAGTTAGACAACTGTTGTGGGGGTTGCATCCTGTGTCGAGGGTGGGGGGGGGGGGGGGGCAGTAGTTCGAAGTTCCACTAAGCCAAGTCTTCAAGAAAGTGCAACAACGCTGTCTCTTACCGAGGCCCAATTAAGTCAGCTCTCGCCTGTAACAACCCCGTAACACCTTGAGTACAACAAATACAAACATTATGTAAAAGGCTCCCTGTAACGTCCTACAAGGTCTGATAAAACACACCTGTAGTTATGGACTGTTTATCATTTGTATAACTACGTTTGGCTTTTAATCACCACCGCCTTTCTTATTTAGTATCTAAGAATGATAAACTCCTAGCGTCTTTGGGAGTGCGTGAGCCTTACTGCATTAAATATGGATCATTCTCGCTGCAGTTTAGCACTGTCATGACTATACTGGCGCCCCTAAAGGAGGGGGACATAGGGAGGGAGGGAGAGGAGGAAGGAAGGAAATGGAATAGGAAGACGAATAGGAGAGGAGAAAGACAGGGATAGGAGAGAGGGGGGGAAGCGTGGTGTGAATAATTTACGAATATAGGTGGATATTTGCTTAACTTATGATTCAGTTCCTGAACCGATTATGTGCCTGTTATGATTCAGCCCTGGTAACGTTTCAATCCTCGTAGCGTTTCAGCCCTTGCAACGTTTCTACCCTCGTAGTAAGTATAATACACCATCTTATCATTTTTATTTGCAGACTTGCAGGGGGTTTTGTAGTAAGCAAGAAGGGCATCATCATGCCTCCAGAACTGTGTATAAATCTGTATGACAATTATATTCAGTCTTGCCTCGGTCTTGCAACCAATTCTGAGGGTACCGTACCCTCGGTACCGTGCCTCGGTAATACAATTAAAATATTAGTCAAAGCCACTTGGAATACAGTACAGATTGTGTTAAACGTTTGTTTTGATAATCATAGATAGGCTTCATGAATATGCTGAGGACAGTTTATTTTCAACAAAAGACGCGGACATATCAGTTAATATGCTAACCAGCATATGTAAATTAACCCAGCATGTGTAAATTAACAAGCATGTGTAAATGTTTATCTGTATTCACCTAGTTGTGCTTGCAGTTTTTTTTTTCTCTCACACACACACACACACACACACACACACACACACACATGGAACTTCAAGAACAAGAGGTCATAGATTTAAACTAGCTAAACACAGATGCCGAAGAAATATAAGAAAATTCACCTTCGCAAATAGACGGTTGGAACAAGTTAAGTGAGAAGGTGGTGGAGGCCAAGACCGTCAGTAGTTTCAAAGCGTTATATGACAAAGAGTGCTGGGAAGACGGGACACCACAAGCGTAGCTCTCATCCTGTAACTACACTTAGGTAATTACACTTAGGTAATTACACACACACACACACACACACACACACACACACACACACACACACACACACACACACACACACGCACACACACGCACACACACACACAGATACCGAATGGGAAATGAAGTACTTCATAAAACGCACAGAGAGAAAGATCTAGGAGTTGATATCACACCAAACCTGTCTCCTGAAGCCCACATAAAAAGAATTACGTCTGCGACGTATGCGAGGCTGGCTAACATCAGAACTGCCTTCAGGAACCTGCGTAAGGAATTATTCAGAACCTTGTATACCACATATGTAAGACCAATCCTGGAGTATGCGGCCCCAGCATGGAGCCCGTGCCTTGTCAAGCACAAGGTGAAGCTGGAAAAAGTTCAGAGATATGCCACTAGGCTAGTCCAAGAACTAAGAGGCATGAGTTACAAAGGAAGGCTGCGAGAAATGCACCTCACGACACTAGAAGACAGAAGAGTAAGGGGAGACATGATCACGACCTATAAAATTCTCAGAGAAATTGACAGGGAAGATAAAGATAAACTGTTTAACACGGATGGTACGCGAACAAGGGGACCTCAGGTGGAAAATGAGTACCCAAATGAGCCACAGGGACGTTAGAAAGAACTTTTTCAGTGTCAGAGTAGTTAACAGATGGAATGCATTAGGAAGTGATGTGGTGAAGGCTGACTCCATACACAGTTTCAAATGTAGATATGATAGAGCCCAGTAGGCTCAGGAATCTGTACACCAGTTGATTGACAGTTGAGAGGTGGGATCAAAGAGCCAGAGCTCAACCCCCGCAAGCACAACTAGGTAAGCACAAGTAGGTGAGTACACACAGCCAGGAAGCAGCCCGTAATAGCTGTCTAACTCCCAGGTACCTATTTACTGCTAGGTAACAGAAGCATCGGGGTGAAAGAAACTCTGCATATGTTTCTTGCCGGCGCCTGGAATCGAACCCCGGTCCACAGGATTATGTGCCGAGCGTGCTGTCCACTCAGCCACCAACTCCCCACCAGCTCTGTGTGTGTGTGTGTGTGTGTACTATGTTGAGTACTCAACATATATATATATATATATATATATATATATATATATATATATATGTCGTACCTAATAGCCAGAACTCACTTCTTGGCCTACTCTGCAAGGCCCGATTTGGCTAATAAGCCAAGTTTTCATGAATTAATGTTTTTTCGACTACCTAACCTACCTAACCTAACCTAACCTAACTTTTTCCGCTACCTAACTCAACCTAACCTATAAAGATGGGTTAGGTTAGGTTAGGTAGGGTTGGTTAGGTTTGGTCATATATCTACGTTAATTTTAACTCTAATGAAAAAAATTGACCTCATACATAATGAAATGGGTAGCTTTATCATTTCATAAGAAAAAAATAGAGAAAATATATTAATTCAGGAAAACTTCGCTTATTAGGCAAATCGGGCCATGCATAGTAGGCTGAGAATTGCGTTCTGGCTACTAGGTACGACATATATATATATATATATATATATATATATATATATATATATATATATATATATATATATATATATATATATATAATATATAATATATAATATTGCACAGTGTCATCATGCAAAGCCGGCATAGGCAAGCTTTTTTTTGTTTTCCAGGATGCCAACCACAACAGTTGTCTGACTCCCCTGTGTGCCTATTTACTGCTAGGTGAACATCGGCATCAGGTTTAAGAGTAAGGCGTACACACGTCTCGCCCAGCATGGAGTCGAACCCAGGCAAGCGTGATTGTGTAGGTTCTCTGTAATGTTAGGTTACAAAATATGTAAACAATATATGTAATAGGTATATATTTGTAGCTGTTACATATATTTAACTGCTCCCCCATTTCATGTATTTAACTGCTTCCCCATTTCATGTATTTAACTGCTTCCCCATTTCATGTATTTAACTGCTCCCCCATTTCATATATTTAACTGCTCCCCCCCCATTTCATATATTTAACTGCTCCCCCCATTTCATATATTTAACTGCTCCCCCCATTTTCTCTGTGCTGATGGTCACCCCCAACTATGAAGGCGGTTCTGACTTGCCACTCCGTACAAAATCCGTCCTTCTAACCTAACCAGAAACATACAAACCCAAGCAACCCCCCTAACCTAATTATGAGGTCACGTGTGTGTGTGTGTCCGACAGGTGAGTGGGGGGACAAGAACGAGAACGGCACGTGGACGGGGATGCTGGGGGACCTGTATCGGGGGGACAAGGATATGGCGGTCAACTACTTCCTCATTATAGAGAAGCGGGCACATGACTTCCACTATTCTGTGCCTTACAAAACTGAAGGGTCAGTAAGTCTCTGTCTCTGTATGTCTCTGTCTCTGTCTGTCTCTGTCTCTGTCTGTCTCTGTCTCCGACTGTCTCTGTCTCTGTCTGTCTGTCTCTGTCTGTCTGTGTCTCTGTCTGTGTCTGTCTGTCTCTGTCTCTGTCTGTCTCTGTCTGTCTCTGTCTCTGTCTGTCTGTGTCTCTGTCTGTGTCTCTGTCTCTGTCTGTGTCTCTGTCTCTGTCTGTCTCTGTCTGTCTCTGTCTGTCTCTGTCTCTGTCTGTCTCTGTCTGTCTCTGTCTGTCTCTGTCTCTGTCTGTCTCTGTCTCTGTCTGTCTCTGTCTCTGTCTGTCTCTGTCTGTCTGTCTCTCTCTCTCTCTCCCTCCATTATTGTTTAAGCGTATCACGGCTGCGTTGTGCAGAACTACTATTTTGAATATAGGAAATGTTCACATTCATCAGACGTGAACAGCTTCGAGAGCTTCCCCGGGATGTTGTTAACGGGGTTTGCTTGGTACCTGCTTGATGGGGTTCTGGGAGTTCATCTACTCCTCCCCCAAGCCAGGCCCGAGGCCAGGCTTGGCTTGTGAGAGCTTGGTCCACCAGGCTGTTGGACCAAGAGTATTTCTTTTCGGTGTACGACGCTAATTTCATAGTCGGATTTGACACGGTGTACGACGTGTGCTCCAGAGTACGCCTCGTTTGTTCATACTCTTCTTCATTCAAAATGTCCTGCCTAGAATTTTAGCCAGATATCCAATGTGTGGTTATCTTGAGATGATTTCGGGGCTTTAGTGTCCCCGCGGCCCGGTCCTCGACCAGGCCTCCACCCCCAGGAAACAGCCCGTGACAGCTGACTAACACCCAGGTACCTATTTTACTGCTAGGTAACGGGGGCATAGGGTGAAAGAAACTGCCCATTGTTTCTCGCCGGCGCCCGGGATCGAACCCGGGACCACAGGATCATAAGTCCAGTGTGCTGTCCGCTCGGCTAGGTAATGCATTATGTGACTATAAGCTTCTCCACCACCCAGTGGATGGGTGTGAGGTGGATGATTAGTAACTGGTTCACCCACACATGGACAAATTTCTCGGTTTTAGAGACTGTTGTGGGGCGGTTCTTGCATCATGGTGTGGTGCTGAGCAGTGTAGTCTTGAGCAACGTGTCGCAGGAGAGACTAAACAAAAGCCCTTATCAGTATGCAAACAATACCGAGTGTCCAACTTTTATTCTTAAATTTTCACAAAGGCTTTATTAATATTTTTTTTCTGTTTCAATTTAATGTACTAGAAAACAAAAGTACAACACTTAGGGCGTAGGCAGCTGTGGTGGAGGGTGTAATGTTCCAGACACCTACGATCCCATCAAGGTCGTCTACCCACCTACGACCTTGCTGGGGTCGAACACTGCGCTTCTAGTGTTCCCGGTAGAATGCCATTTCCTGCATCGCTTGATCAGAATTGCCTTGATGATGGTGATTCCAGCTTGCTCATTGCATATTGCAAATGTTCACCGAACATGCTCTGTGTATACATTTGCTTGCAATATTGTTGGCAATATTATTATACCGATGAAAACTGACACTTGTTGGTCTTAGTTTATGGTGATCTAATAGAGTTTTGTATTTTTAGAAAAAAGGTGTTTCGCTAGATATTGTGCTGAATTGTTTTAAGTGCGGTGTTTTGACCCCCATGTAGATGATAGGGAAAGGTCGTCTATGAGGACGACTCCCGAAGACAGCAAAAAATAGATCGTTGAGACCACAGGAAGTGAATAAGTACAAACGACTGTTGTTTAACTCGACTGAAACTGTGAATCTTGTTGAATCAAGGGATGCCTTGAGGTTTCTCAAAGAATTGGGTTCTAAGCTCATTGGCACTACCAAGAAACCCAAGAGCTGCTAGATTCCTGTTTTTAGCACCTCTGTGTGGCGATTCAGAGGGGAAACGCCTGTGTTCTCGGGTTCTCTGCAGAAGCTGAGGAGCTTCAAAAGATCCACAATATTTAACATTTCATTATATTCACTAATGCATTACTTGTAAGTTATAAAATATAACAAAACACGAAGAGGAGGAGAGACGTCCAAGCCCAGTTGACCAGACCACCAACCAGGAGGCCTGGTCGGAGACCGGGCCGCAGGGACATTGATCACCGAAAGCACCATAAGATAACAGCAAGGAACTGGTAGGACAAAAGAACAGGGAAACTGCATTAGAGGGGACTTAAAAATCCCCTCTAATGCTTCATGTTAAGTTTTCTCACAGACAGAACCTTCTTCCAGCCAGAGGTGGTGCCCATTTAGTACCCTTAGGTGCTACTTGATAAACGATAATGAGTGCAGTAATGGTGTCTTCCAAATATAGTTACTGATATTGATAATGCGTGTGTCTGGGTTCTTTTGTCATGTGACAAAAGATCTCCTGCGTTGCAGATTTATTGAACAATTGTGTGTAAATCTTGCAGCCCTAAAAGTCAAATGGGTTGTAATGATAATCAAGGACCTGCATGCCAAGTAACTACATTTATTCCCCAATTCTTACTCTTCGCTCCAATAAATCTACATGTATAATATAGTTGGTCCCCGTGTAAATGTATAATAAAACCCTGTGTATAATTCTTAGCTATTGTCAAACCTAGGATCCCATGGCATTGCTTCAATATTTCCTCTGATACATTCTAACAAATACATGTTTTGCTTTTGCTTAACGTTTTAAGAACGTAATAGAATTGCAGTTAGTGTTTGCTGGGATCACGTTCAATGTGCACTTGTAAACACGTCTTGTGACTGATGTGCCGTACCTGTGTATAGGTTCGGGCTGATGTTGAGGGTGCCGCCTCCACTGCCACGTTGGAGGAATCTGATGTACCCATACACGGGCATGGTGTGGGCGGGGGTACTGGGCGTGGTCATCGTCGCCGGCCTCACATTCTACCTCCTCAACTTCAGGAGGTCTCGTTTCACCCTCCTCGTCAGCCTCATGTCTATCTTACGGGTAAGAGCAGCACGGAACTGTGGCTTCCTGCAGGAGTGGTTCTATACAGCCATGATCGACAAAAACAATCAATTATTAATGTTACTCTGCTTGAAAAAACATCTGCAGCTGCCACATGTAATGTATATAACTCTTCAGTAATTATTATTGTATTTTGTGTATTATCATATTTTGTCAATCTTTCTCTTTATTCTTCTGATTTACACCACAAAATGGACTTCAGTCTGCAGTTACTTATATACCAGGCTATCATCACATCTTTCCTACATAGTAGCTTCATATTACTCTTACCCTAAAAGAGTGTAGCCTAGCATTAATAACCTAAAAGATTGTAGCCTCGCATTAATCTTAATGTAATGCAATCAAAACCTAACTCCGTGTTATGGAGAGAGTTAAAATTAGGTCACCAACTAGTCATGAAATCCTTACTCTGAGATGTAAATATATTTGGCAATTATCTATTATTTCTTCATTACCTATATTATACAGCTAAGGCCCTTAACAACTGAACCAGTTCCAGGTGGTAATCTGTAATGACGGTCTGGTCAGCGTCATTGATAAATGTAATGGCTAATGTGTCTTAAGTAATGTCGACTGCGACTTCACAATTGATGTAAGTGTAGGGCCCCATATCCTCGAAGAAAATACAAAGTATTCAGAGAAGGACTTGTGGATCCTCACTAACACTTTGATACTGTCTTCTTTGACGTAATGTAATGTAAAGTGTAACTTTTATAATGTAAAGTGTGACAATATTTGTCACTGCTCTAAAGGCAAGCTACGCCTTGTTTTTCTAATAGTGCATATATCACACTCTAAATTATAGACTAAATGTTACTCCTTTTATACCGAATATGCAAAGTGTAATTTAGACCGCTGTACCACCCGTTGAGAATAGCAATTATTGTGACGATTTGAGTAAGTTGTTACGATCATAGTTTCAGATAAATAATTTGACAAGTAATGATTTTAAAATCCTTGATAAATGCGGCTTCTAAATCTTGAGTATACAGTTTATAATTACATATATATTACATATGTTATTAATATGAATTTCTCTCGTGATTAGTTTTCACAAATTTGCAGTAAATTTAAGCAAATTTGCAGTATATTTACAGAAATTTGCAGCCAATTTATACAAATTTGCAGTAAATTTACACTAAATTATATATTCATAAATAAACATTTATGAATATAGTATTTTAATTTGTAATTATTATACAAAGCCTCCTCATCCTTTGCGTAAGTGACTACAGAACAGTTCGTAACCTGCAACAGGGTATAGTGGGACAGTCGCTGACGAAGGTACCTCCATGGTGGTTGGTGCGGGTCTTCCTGGGCGTGTGGTGGTTCTCCGCCTGGATCCTCGACATCTCCTACACCAGTAACCTCATCGCTGTGTTGACCGTGCCTGTCTACCCCTCCAGGATCAACACCGTCAGCGAGCTCGCCAACAGCAAACTCAGGTAAAGTGCTCTTGGACTATGTTTCGAATACTTAATTTATGGTGAGACTTGACTATGTTCGGGTGTGGAGTAAATTGGGTCCTCGTAGTATACATATATACACGTATGCCATGATTAACAATTCAGGCCATTCTCTTGATTTTCCACAACGTTCAAAATACAAAGTGCTAGCCTAACGAGGAACTCATGAACCCAAGCAACCCACCTAACCTAGTTAACCGATACATACAAAACGTGGATATTTTTAGCTGCTAGGTCTCGCAGTAGTCTGTAATTTGTACATTGGGGATCGTAATGTGCAAAATGAGACCTAGTTGAGAGAACAGGTTGAACAAATACTGGCTATGTGCAATAATGTGCATTTATACATAATATTTTAAGGGATACGTGTTCACTAGGCTGTGTATGCTGGACTACGGCGAGTTCGTTCCGGAGGCGTTGGCCACATCGACGAATCCGGTGCTGGCCAAACTTGGCGCCAAACTGGATCTGGTTCCCCAGATTCTCAGCGAAGCCTACGGCGGCCAATCCGGATGTGTTAAGAAGGTGTTAGCGGGCACCCACGTCCACACCGAGACGTTCTCCTACATGCTAAACCTCTACACCTCATTAGGCCACGGTAGCGAGGTCTACACTCTTAAGGACCAGCTGTACGAGGGCAACCTGGTATTCTTCTTCCGCAAGAACACTCCCTGGAGACACAAGTTCGATGTGGGGCTCCGGCGGTTGGTGGAGGCCGGCCTCGTCCAAAAGTGGTACTTCAATATTATGGAGGAACTGAAGAAAAAGGAAAGCAAGGTAACACAAATTATGATGCGGGAATGTATTTAATTAGTTGTGCTTGAGCGGGGGTTGAGCTTCGGCTCTTTGACCCCCGAGGGAATGTGCCAAGGGAAATATGTATTTGTTTAATGTTATCAATTTATATAGTTTTTATATTGTCCTCTTTACCCATCAGTTAAGTGAAGTTTAGTAAGAATTCTGCGACGATATCTTGCATATGCAGGAGATTAGTGAAAATATCGTGGCTGAAGTTACGATATCCAAACCACACACCAGAAAATGGAGAAACGACGACATTTTGGTCCGTCCTGGACCATTATCAAGTCAATTACACCACATGATAATGGTTCAGGACGGACCGAAACGTCGTCGTATCATCTTCTGATGTGTGGTTTAGATATCGTATGTTGTATATCTTAGGTGAAATGTTGAATTTGAATCTTGGTGTCTAAGTGTAAGGTTATTGTTTTTAAAATAAATATATTTTCTCTATTGCTGTATTATCAGAATCTGAGCTAACTCAGCACCCCTTCCCCTAATGTGGGACCATCTCCCATGACCACATACACACACCTGGAGCTAACCCATGACCCCACACACCTGGAGCGACCCCATCAAGTCGCATGTTCCTCGTCGACTAACGCCATACCCTCCCTCCACAGACCACGAGATCCGAACCCCGGGCGCTGTCGATTCGTCATCTCCAAGGGCCCTTCCTGCTGATGGCCCTTGGATCATCGCTGGCTGCCTTAGTATTTCTCTTAGAGAAGTTTTTCCACCTTCAGCGCCCTCCGCGCCCGGCCTCACAAGACACGAGACTAAGCAGAGTAGTAATGGCGCTTCCAACGCCTTGCGCAGTGAAAGGGTTTATGGAGGACGATGTAATGTACAAGCCTCAGGGAAAGGGCGTTTCGATCTTCATCTGATCATCATATTATGCCTATAAGTGTTAGTGAGGCATTGTGTGAAACAATTAACATTGTTTTGGGGAAAAAGATTTTTATAAGCGTTTAATATTATATTTGGTGACTGGCTAAACTCATTTACAGCATCCACATACAAAATAAATAAAATTTTAATAATTATATTATTGTTAATTAATTCGTTAGATACCATATTAATTAATATTTTAGATACTTTTGAAAGTAATATGAGATTAATGTGATTTAAATGTTACATTTGACTATTATTTTTATTACTGATAAAATATGATGATTATTATTGTTATTAAGAATACCCAATATGGAGATACATAATGGAATGATTTTTTGCGGGTGTTGCGAGTGCGGGTGTTGCGAGTGCGGGTGTTGTGGGTGCGGGTGTTGTGGGTGCGGGTGTTGTGGGTGCGGGTGTTGTGAGTGCGGGTGTTGCGAGTGCGGGTGTTGCGAGTGCGGGTGTTGCGAGTGCGGGTGTTGCGGGTGCGGGTGTTGCGGGTGATGCTGGTGATGAATATCTCCTTCCCTCCTCCTAGGACACACATTCGTCTCCACAGCTCACGGCAGGGGGAGGGAGTCTTGCCTCTTCATACTGACTTGAAATTTTAAGCACTTCTGTATAACAGGAAGACTTAAAGCTTTCGTTGTTGGTGAGGGGCAGAGTGTGATGGTGAGTATTGTCCCGAGGCGTTTATTTTTGGGTCCTGGGAAACATGATTTTACACTTGGGAAGAGGAGGAGGGAGTTGGAGTTTCTTGTTACAGGTGAGATGGGGAAACGCATCTGATCACCCCTACCCCCCACCACAACGGTTTCCTCCAACACCACAGCGGTTCCCCCCTCACTCCACCCAAACTCCCCCCCTCACTCCACCCAAACCCTGCCAGCCACCTAAACAGCCCAAGTGAGTGTTTTAACATTGACATCTACATTGGTCAATTGATTGATAGCTTTTCACGTATTTACATCTTGTCCTTGCGTCGAGAAAGCTTGGACTCGACATGGGTTACATCACTTATATGCTCAAGTTGTCTTTTGAGCAGCAACGAAGCTCACAATACACTCCCTCACACCTCAGTATAGCTCACAATACACTCCCTCACACGTCAGTATAGCTCACAATACACTCCCTCACACCTCAGTATAGCTCACAATACACTCCCTCACACCTCAGTATAGCTCACAATACACTCCCTCACACCTCAGTATAGCTCACAATACACTCCCTCACACCTCAGTATAGCTCACAATACACTCCCTCACACGTCAGTATAGCTCACAATACACTCCCTCACACGTCAGTATAGCTCACAATACACTCCCTCACACCTCAGTATAGCTCACAATACACTCCCTCACACCTCGGTATAGCTCACAATACACTCCCTCACACCTCGGTATAGCTCACAATACACTTCCTTACACCTCAGTATAGCTCACAATACACTCCGTCACACCTCAGTATAGCTCACAATACACTCCGTCACACCTCGGTATAGCTCACAATACACTCCCTCACACCTCAGTATAGCTCACAATACACTTCCTTACACCTCAGTATAGCTCACAATACACTCCGTCACACCTCAGTATAGCTCACAATACACTCCGTCACACCTCAGTATAGCTCACAATACACTCCGTCACACCTCGGTATAGCTCACAATACACTCCGTCATACCTCAGTATAGCTCACAATACACTCCGTCACACCTCAGTATAGCTCACAATACACTCCGTCACACCTCAGTATAGCTCACAATACACTCCCTCACACCTCAGTATAGCTCACAATACACTCCGTCACACCTCAGTATAGCTCACAATACACTCCGTCACACCTCAGTATAGCTCACAATACACTCCCTCACACCTCATTACACCTCGTGTCATACGAGCGCGTCGGTAAAACGAATACAAACGCCGGTAGTGAATGCAATCGATTTGTATTCATTAAGTTCCAGCTGAGATGTCACGATAACTACCCGTGGTTGCTTCACTACAACTCTCTTGCGGTCCAGATAAATACCGTCGGGGTACTAATATGATCTAAACCTTAATTTGGAATGTTAATTTTCTTATCATTTATATCTGCCCAAACTCTCACATGTGCAGGGGGGTGAGTCACAATAACGTGGCTGAAGTATGTTGACCAATCCACACACACTAGAAAATGAAGGGACGACGACGTTTCGGTCCGTCCTGGACCATTCTCGAGTCGATTGCTCACACATGTATGTCTAACCAGCACCTGAAACACTCCAGGGATCTCTACATGTGTTAACTGTTAATATGTGCTATTAATTGATAACTTAAATTCCCCAAATTAATATTTACCTAGGTTTTTTTCCGGGATCTAAATCTGAGCGATTTCTATTCTTTGTTTTGCACTCTATTTCGTGTAGATGTATTTAAAATCATATTGATGTTCAATATGCACAGTGAAATCACATTAACGTTGTGTATCAATTGAGACTACGAAGTACCAAGTGTGTGGGGTTCGAATCCTTCTCGTGACTCCTACTGATTTTCTCAGTATTCACTTTATGCCTTTTCAGCCATTTGTAAATATCAATAATGCCACTTCTTACTCCTCGTCATTCTAAAGAAAGTAAATTGAACTTTCTAAACCTCACGTTGTTAGGGACGTTAAAAATTTCTGGGAATACCTTTGTCATCCTTTCTTTACATATTCTATAAAACGCGTACCCGTTCTATGCATCGTAATGCACTACGGGCTCACCATAGCCCGTGCTACTTGGAAATTTGTTCCAGGTAGCGAATCTTTTAACAACAAAAACAAAAAAGCATCGTAATCTGTTCTAATTCATCAAGAAGGGTCTTATCAAGGCTAGATTAGCTTGGGTTCGTTCTGAGGATCAGCATTCTCCTCTATCTGGTTGGAGATCTGGTCAACCAGACTGTTAGACGTAACTGCTCCCAGCCCTGATGAATGAATCGCAATCCGGTTGATTAGGTATCCTTTGGAGGTGCTTATGTTATCTATTTGAACACCGTGAGAGGTCGGCTGGTTGTGCTTACTATGTGTGGAGAGTGTTGAAAAGTCTTGGGCCTTTGATGTTGATTTTTGCACTTCCTGCCATGCCTCCTGCTCTCTTGGGGAGTCCTTTCCGTGTGAAGATTTAAAACTAGTCCTTATATTATTTTCAAAATTTAAATTATTACTTCACTCTCCAGCCTGCACTCTAGGGAATATAGATTTAAAAATTGTAAGCAGTTCAAATAACTTGCATGTTTTATTGAGTGAGATTCTGTCAGTAAAAGATCTTTGTACACTCTCCAGGTCAGCAATTTCTTCAGCTTTAATTGGGGTTGTTATTGTGCAACAGTGTTCCACCCTAGAGAGCAGTAGTGTCTTGAAAAGTGTCATCATTGGTTTGGCATCTCTTGTCTTTAAAGATTCTTGTTATCCAACCTGCATTATTTCTTGTAGTTCTGAAAGCTACTTGTTTTGTTTTTTAAAGCAAAGTCTTTCGATATGAAGTTATGTTGTATGCTGGGTGTATATATATATGTACCTGGTCTCGCTGCAGGTGGAGGTGGTGGTGGTGGTCCAGCACTGGCGTCCTCAGGTGCCCCCCAGGACCCATCTGCATCGTTTCCGGTGGAGTAACAACCACCCCCCCACCCCCTTCAACCACATTGGCTCGGCGCCCACCTGCTGGTGCTGCCCAACCACTCCCTATCCTGCCCAAACCCGTTTCTCTACGTCCTGATTGCTCCTATGGCTGAAATGTACAAAATAAGGGACAGTTTGTACCCAAACTGCCTCACTCAGCGCCCCAAGCGGTCACTTGACGGCTTAACGTCTCGTAACTTACTCACAGAAGGAAAACACATTGTGATTTATTGGTGAGAAAATCTTTAGAGCAGGATGGGGGATCGAATCGGCATCCTTGGTAACCTGGGACGCACGCCTTAACCCGTGGACCATGATATGCTTAAAACTCTCACAACCTGGAGTCCGCCCGAATCCACTAGGAATTAGGAGGAGGGAGTATTCAATCCAATTTTTACATGGCAAGTGTCAGGAGAGGAGGCTAGGTTGATTGACACGCTTGTGATGGGTTGATTGACACGCTTGTGATAGTTATTGGAGGCGACGTACCCGAGGTCCCTGGCTCAAAGTACAGCCTTCGAGCTAAGGTATGTTTAGCTTTCCGTCTCCCCCCCCCCCCATCTTCCCATCTTCCTGAGGGCTTCCTGCCCTCGCCCCCATCATCACCACCCCTCTCACCCCGCCTCCCACTCCCCCCTCTCCTACCGCCCACATCCCTCCCACACCCCAGCACACCACCCCCACCCCTCTCTCTCCTACACCTGCTGCTGTATTTCTCCCAGGGGTTACAAGTCATTTGCCTGACCCGTCCCACTGTTTGGTCCAGCAAACTCCAAACACAACAGCAGAGTTTAACGTCACTGCAACATTGCAGCAACTAAAACAGTGTTTGGGGGTCGTGGCAGGGGGGAGGGGGGAGGGGATTGTGACCACCCTGGCAGGTCAGTAAGGGGGGGGGGCGGGAGGTCACCACTGTAACGGTATGACCAATGTGGCGTTATAGTGACGTCACACACCTGTAACATCACGTCACACACCTGTAACGTCACACATCTGTAACAAAAGGTAATGCCGTACTAGAAAGAGTACCACCTGTGCCAGGGCCTCTGCCCCTCCCTCTTTCCCCTCCCTCTTTCCCTCTCCCCTCCCCCCCTATCTATCCCACTCCCCTGACATCCCATCTCTATCTCCCTCTATCCCCTCTATAATATTGCAAAGAGCTCGGTAATCCGAACTTCGGTAACTCTAATCTTCGGGTAATCCGAATGAATTCGTGTTTTTCATTCTCGAGTAAACGGCGGGAGTAAGCAGATAAAGATTTGTCGGTCAAATAATGAAAAGGATTTGAAAAAGCATGAAAATGCGCTGGTAAACGGTGGGGGAATAAGTAGGCACTGTATGGTAAGCAAATCCCTGATTTCATGTTAAAATAAAATTGCAGGGGGGTAGGGTGGGGGTCGCTATAAATGGCGATATTTCTTAATAGGTGGTACTGGGGCCGACCCTGATAGACTGCCCTATGACACATACCCA